AGGAATCTTGCAAAAATTTAGAAAATAATGCAATTAAACTTATTATTAGAGGATTTGTCATTTAATAAATTTAATTTTCAAATTATTATTGTTACTATTATTATTTATTATTATTAATCATTATTATTAATTATGAAATTATTTGATCTCTGAAAGTTTTTGCAATGTTGAGAAAATTATGTCTGTATGTAGTAAGGATATAAATATAGTTGTACTATTACTGTGCTGATCATATCGTCAATTCCGCTAATTCTACAAAATCAACAAAATAACAAATTAATCGATGTAATTCTAAATAAAAAAAAAAAACATATTATTACTCATTAAAATAATTAAATAAATATATTATTTATTAAAATGCGCATATATGTGAAGTTTCTTCATTATATTCATCGTTATTTTTGAAATGAATTTAGAATGATAGAAAAGATAATTCGTTTTCAGTTAACACCTGAAAAACTCTCAGTAATCTTATCTGAATGAAGAAGAGAGAGAAAAGGAGGAGAGGAGAGGAAAGAGAAAGAAAAGGAAAGAATTGAGGTGCACCTGCTTTCTTGATATCCGTTATTCAACATCATCTCTTCAATCAATTCATCCATGATATTTCATATTTTTTCTATTAATAATAATAATATCATTTTCTGACTCTTCACGTATACACCAACAAAGGCTACTTAAGTACCACTTAATTTGGGATTTCTTTTTTATGTATGCTCAAATTTACCAGGTGGATATGATATGGAAGTGTGAGAATTTTAGTTATTACATGTTAACTCCTCTACTAATTCATTTAAATTATTATTGAATTAAATTCAACTAAATTCTACATTAACTGTAACAATTGATCGATTTTAATTTTCTCGAAAAGAAAAAAAACAATTAAAAATTTAATTAATTTTAATTAAAATATATCCATGATTTAATAATTCTTCGTTATGGGAAAAATAACCATAAATGCAAATAACAGAGAAATTGTATGATATTGAAAATAGGTGAAGTATAATTGTAACCAAAGTAGGAAAGTATGTATCCTTCCTTGAGTGCATGGGAATTGTACAATCAGTTTAGATGAAACATGACCTATAGCGCCAGGAGGTCTACCTACCGCTTATCCCTAAATTATACTCAATTTTTTCCTGCACATATGGTACCAATGATAAAATCAGTGAAGAATTGAATGACATGCGTTTTAAATAATAATAATAATTTATCTTAACTGATTGAATATGAATTAAAATTACGATAATTTGTAAAATTTCTTAGCTGATTTCGTAGAATTTCAATTATTCCAGCAGTTTTATGATTTTTCCCTAAAACAATTTATCTTTTGTTATATTTCAATAAATTTATAGTTTAAAAAAATGCCATAATTATTTCATTCATATCAGCGCATTGTTAAAAAGTTTCGGTAAGATTGACTCATTCGATGACATTGACCAATGATCAATGATAGATCGTTGTTTGGAGCAATGGACATCGCTGACCTCCGAATAGTTTATTTTAATCCAATTGTTGTTTTTTGAATTGCTACGCCGTTGTTATGCGAATAATGGGTAACAACAGCTCGATAATGAGGCCAACAACTATTATTATTATAACACACTCTCGTGCGAAGGAACCATTGCGCAGCATGTGGTAAAGGTAAAAGATACGGAGTGCGCCTATGTCCCATTATTGCCAGCCATCAAATTGATTCATTATAATGAAAATTTTTTTTGTAGTCAAACTTTTTGGTTACATAAATGTATTTCAGATCACAGCATATCATTTCAGCTCTTAAATTATATGTGCAATGGTATAGTTATCATTTATAATAGAAATTTAATTGGCTCCAGTTCAAAATTTAAATTTATTTAAATGAGATTGAACTAATACTGACCAATTCTATCTGTATCATTGTATCATGTACCTTTCGTGGAACAGAAGTGTAAGGTATTCAAATATGAATTGAAACTTTAGAATACATATTCCTCAATTAATTGGCAGTCTCAAATCATTGATTGATTTTATGAAAACACTAAGTTTGTATTAAATACTATTTTGATTGATAGCCTTTATGCCTAAATATAAAAATGTTATTACAGATTTTTCAGTATTTTGTACTCTGAAAAGATAGAAAAACAAATTTTTTGATTTTTATGTCAGAATATGTCCTAACTTTTTGTATGAAAAATTATTGAATATTTACTATTTAAAAATTAATTCACAAATTTATTGATTATTCAGTGAGATTCTATTCCGGATACCATTAATTAATATATCATTTAAACAGAGATCAGAGTAAGAGACAGTAAGCAAGGAAAACAATTTATGCTAGGCTAATAATTAGTAAATTGCGTCATTTCTGATCAAACCTTATCGTTCCTCTTGCTACAATACGTTCCACAGAATTATTTCCTTCTCTCTTCTCTTACCAAATTTGCATCAAAATTTGAATAATTACAGGTATAAAAAACATTTATAGCGCACTATGCAATTTACGTGATATAACTGCGTATTACGCAATTTAACGCTGCACGAAATAATGCAAAATGAATGCAAGCATCTGCAATATTTTTTCACTAATTTATTTATTACTTATTCCACTTTATTACTTAACACCTGAAGAAGAGAAAAGAAAGTTACCATAATCGAGTCAAAAAAAATTACCATAATAACAGGAAATAAACAATTTTAATTTAAGGTAAAAATAACATTTTAGTAAAATAATGACTTTTCTTAAAAGTATTAATATGAAAATATTACATCAAAATATTGGTATTACATCAAATATTTCGATACGAACATTTTATTATGAAGAAGCGTTTTATAAAAACTACTTATTAATATTGAAAATACTTAAAAGCAATTTATATGATTTATTCTTAAATTTTTAATTTATTACATATCTTGTGACAGTCGCAGAAGACATCATACAGTATGATCTATTTGTTGATAACCTCATGATCTATTTGTTGTGAATCTAAGGTAGAAAATATTTCGTGTTATTCAAATGTTTCTCAGGATTAAAAGATAATAAAAATATAAAAATGTCTCCTACCGGATTCAATTGAAAATAAGATTTAGCATAGCGCACACCTGCGATATATACTATTATTATAATTATAATGTTTATAAGAAGACATGCGCCAAAAATAGTACACAAAAATAATTAGCATAATCAGTTGGTTAATGTAATTTGGTGGTCAATGTTGAATTGTCTTCTGTTTTTCTCAAAAATTTCAAAATATTTTTTGCTTTTCATATTTGAAACTTTTAATAAACTCTAATTCTTGTTAAAATAGATAATTTTTTTTTAAATTATATACTAAAATGAACTTCAGAGGTGAAAGGGCAATAAGGTACCACGTGAGAGAAAATTCAGGAAATTAGCACTAAAAGCATAAAACTTAGTTTAATTAAATGATAAGGTTTTTCTCTTTATTGATTAATCTGTTATTAGTAAAGATCAAAGTAATTTTTCTTTCACTCTCCCTCTCTCTTAAATTAGAATACAAGTAAAGTTTTCAGCTTCATGATCTATTAGAAAGCGTCTTATTACTCATTACTTATTAACTGTCATGTAAGCAATGAGCCAGTCATTGGCTAGTCTCATTCATCAAATATACATTCGCCCAATCGTGATTGAATATCTCGTTAATCCTGCTTGATCATTCATGTGTTATTATCGTAGTCAACCAACGACCCTTTGACCTTTTAATTTTCTGCATAAAATTAGAATTTTGATATTTCACATATTTGATTTTTTGAATTTTTCAATCATTATGCATTTATAATGTGAGATCAAGAAATATAATAAGGTAAACATCATATAAAACATTTTTCTATCAGTACTGTTTCTTGAAGTAAATTGAAAATTCTAAATTCCAGAATTTTCCTCGCCTATAAAAGAATCAAATTGCATCATTTCAATTTTTATTTCTTTTCAGCGAAGTTTGAATTTTAAACTTCGAAATGAAAAAAGAATTTTGAAAAGTCAATAGAATAACATGAAAATGTCACTCAGAAACCGTTTGTCTTGCCGGACTATACCATCCAGTTTGATTAATGTTTTTCACTTCTACTCCCATCGCTTTTTCCCTTTCATCCAAAAGCAGTAACGCTAATGATTGCAATACAAATCTCATTAATACCTACCACCCGTACCAATACCGCCCGTATTAATACCGCTCCTCATATTATGATGCTTTTTGTTAAATTTTTATACAAATTTTGAAAAAATTACAAAAGTTCATTCTTTTTACTCCCAAAGATTTGAACTTTTTTTAATTTTTTAAAAATAAAATTATGAGATTTTCTTATTAGCCATTAGACGTCATTCGCGTAATGTGTATTACGTACGTAACGTTAGCAAAAATTTTGAGCATATTTGTTTCAGTTCAGATGACAGATTGATAAAATGAAAATGGATAAATCGTTATCAATTAAATTAATTATTTTCCGTGCAAACGCTAATTATTCTTCTTTGAAATATTTAGGAAAAAACAAACATATTTTCGAAAATTTTAATTATTGAAGAAATTTGTTTATTTAAATTTTATTCATTGATGAACACAAATCCACAAAGCATAAAAATTAAGTGAAACACTTATATAATTTATAAGTGAGAATTATAATAAGGCGAAGAATACAAAATTGAGAAATGTTGCAAATTTATATTAAAGAAATCAAAGGTAATAAAAAGCCAAAATAATTGCATATTCTTTTCAAACTTTAATATCAAAAATTTTACAAAGGATATTTCAGCTTGCTAAATAGTTCTTTCTAAAGTGATTAGTTATTTTCATTCCAAAAACTTTACTTCTATAAATTAATTAAAGTTAATTGAGCTTATGCCTAATAAAACTTACCTAAATCTTTTTTTATCTTTTCGAAATTTTTGCAAATCTGAAACTAAAAAGATTATTTATTTTCAAAATTATAACACTTCATAAGTTTTTGAAACTTTCAAATTTGCCAATCTATCGATTTGATTTTACAAATTAGAAGCATATCAGCTATCACAATACATAATCAGTTCGTTGAAACCGTGAAATCTCGGTGAAACTTAAGGAAGATGAGGAATAAGAGGAAGATGTACTCAACGATTCATTTTCGGATTTAACTGCCGCATTATTCGGATTAAATGAGGTTGGTGATTTGTAATAAAAAGGACTATTAGCATGAGGTTGATAATAAAAAGGTTCATTACTACAACCAAATTGACATATACCGGTTGTCTGATCTGACATAGGATAATGATTTTCTTCTGAAAAACATGGACTATCGTGGCAGTTTTGCTGTTCTTGATTGGTATTCAAAGGTTCAAATGGTTTATCGCAGGTGCCTTGTAACAGGTCTTGCAAATGCTTGATATATCGAGCTGCTTCACGAAGTGTTTCTACTTTACTCAGTTTCTTGCTAGTTGCTGAATGCGGCACCCGATCACGAAGATGTATAAATCCAAGATTTACCTAAAGTACTGATTTTCTTTTTATTGCCACTTAAAAAAAATAATATTTGCCTATTTATAATTAATTTAAATTCTCTTTTATCTACAATTCATTGTTATGCTATGCGAAAACATTTGATGGAATGAAGAAATGGTGCAATCATTTTAATCGATAAAACAAAGAATTAATTTTAATGTACAGAAGAGATATGGGACAAAAAATAAAGAAGTTAAGCGGAAATCTTAAATTAAAAATTGATTAAAGAAGAAATCTGACCTGTTGGACACGTTTTCTTTCTCGCTCATTTCTTCTAAGCACCTGATGTGGTAATTTCGTCGCTGCACCACCACCTTTTGATTTTCTTAGTCGTATCCGATTTGTAGGATTACTACTAGTAGCAGTATTAGACATTGTGTTGAAGGCATTTCGCATTCTCATTTAAAGTACCTTTACGGTACTTAATAATAGTTGATAGGGATCAAATCAAAATTTAGTAACAGTTGATAATATACAAGGAGGGGAATCTGAAAGAATAAAAGCGAAGTAAGTTCAAAAAAAATTAATAATATTTTAAACTTTTCTAAATTTTATTTAAATTGCTATTCTGATATGCTATTTAACGGCTACTTTTTGCATTTTGACCATGAAGTCACTGGAATATCTGACAGTTTCGAATATTTTAATTATCAAATAAAATTAAATTTTTCAGTGATGCATGCATGCAAGTTAATTGTTATGCATGCAAGTCAATTATTATGATTTCAATGATGCATGTATGCAAGTTAATTTAATCAAACAGGGAAAATATGCTAACTTTTAATAACAAATAAGATTAAGAGAACTGAATTACAACTGATATAAGCTATAGAAAGCATTGGCTGAATTTCGATTTTCTAAATGATCACTTAAGGAATTAAGTTATTAAAAAATATCGATTCCATTTTAAATGATCACTTAAGAAATTAAATTATTAAATTAAAAAAAATTTAGGAGTTAGGAAAAACTAAGATAAGTAATAGATAATATAGAAATAAATAATGGAATCGATCAGGTCAACTGGAGAGAGAACCATTCCACGATGGGCTTCATGGAAAGATGACCGGTGATGACTGCAAATGGCGCAGTTTGGAAACCAACCACGCCCCTACCGTTCGTATATCCTTTGATGGATTACCATATGCAAACGTCCTCCGAATGCTTTTTACTCTCACATATAAATCGGCTATTTGTTTATTTATACTTGGTTGGCAATAAAATATACATAAGAATGCTACATGTTGAGCATTTTCAAACTTCTACACCATTGATGATTACCTTACGATGGAAAAGATGAATGTTATCAAAATGTTAACTGTTACCTTAACTAAAAGCGCCGTACTTGAAGTTTAGATTAATTCAGCATATTTAAAAATCTTACAGAACTAGCATGAAACTAATTCATAATTAACTTTGAAACAGTTTAAAGAGTAAAACAAAATGATTATGATAGAACCAGCCAATTCGATTATCCACCGATGATTTATCACTCATCAAATAGCTTATCAAATAGAATAAAATAAAAATTAAAATTTTTTCACTTTTAAAAGATGCTGCTGGAAAAGCTGAAACAATAACAAATTTATGAACTATTATTATTTCATAAAAGGAAAATGAGTCATAAGAAAAGATTAAGTCAAAGGTAAAAATTCTTTTCTTTTTTCTTCAACTATGAATCATAAAAAGCTTGAACACAATTGCAGTAATTTTCTAGCAGTTTCCTTTCCCCGGATCGAGCATCATTTCAAATAAATTGCACACGTTTATTGTCTTTCCTTTGCGGTTTCATAGGCTGTAATTTGCATAGCAATTGCATTTTTGTTATGACCACCGTGCAGAAGATTTCATGTAAGCTTTAATGAGAGTAACAATAATTCAGTCTGAATTGTTAGTTTATTAATGTAATTCAAAATGTCACAAAAAGTATTGAAAGAGAAAAGACATTTGGGAAAAATGATTTCCTCCTTATATTTTTTTAAATAACTCACTTCGAACTTATCTTGCTCTATCTGGCAACAACAACAACAACTCCTTGAGAGATATATATTTGTTAATTTCATTACACTTCTTATTAATAAACATAAAATAGCTAATTTAATTAAATTGAAATCACAGTGAATTTAATTATGATGTATTCTATAACATATACAAAGAATGCTTATAGAAAGTGACTTAAATATTCCAATTGCATGCATTTGGATTTGCAGTGTTAATAATTGGAATTTACTGTGCAACAAATGAATTCAATTTGACGAAATGACGATTAACTCTCATAGTTAAAGAAAAGGAGCAGATGTGATTCTGATTACTGACAGATTCGAAACGCAACAGGATAGGTACACTGTCGTCCAAACAATAATGATCGCGCTTGCCAACAAAATTGGGCAATCTATTCATGATAGATTTTCTTTACAACTATGTTAAACCATTTGTCTAAATAAGTAATCAGTATCAAAAAGGTAACAGTTAAAATTTACCTGCTCTAAAAACTGAAGCTTTATCTGGTCAGTATCTCTCACAAAAATTGATCGATTAGGTAAAAGATTAGTTTTTGAGCAAACTAAACAACAAAAATATTAGTAGAAGTGCCGTTTTAAAAATTTTGATGTATAAAATTAAATGAAATATTTATCAAAATTGAATGATAAAATATTAGCAATATTGATTTTTATCTGATGGAAATATATTTTTAGATGTCACATTTTAGTTTATTCAGAAGTTTGTTCTTTTTGTTATTAGATAGATTAATTAACGATTAATTATTAACTGAAAAGGAAAACAAACAATGATGTGAAAATGTTTTCCGAATTTTGCATACACAACTAAGCCTAATTTTACCATTCATTTTGCATTCAATCATTCAGGTCTATTTCAAATTTTGCAAAAATCCAATTCAAAATAAAATTCGAATTATATTGTAATAATTAGTAGAATAATTAAAATGAAATTGAATTAAAATGTTAAATTGCTTAAAGCAAAAATGAAGTAAAATGAATAATGCAATTATCCATAATGAAAATGAAATTAATTGTTTCATCTCCATTAACCGTACAGTCTGTAATTAATCTGTAGTGAAATTTTCATGAATTGTTTATAAATGAAAACGATTTATCTCTTAGCTCCATTCCGTACCACAGCATAATTCAATAACGAAACTGCATATGTATTTTCAAACATCTGCAGATTTGAAAATTTTGTTCGAAAAAAAAACCAGTTTTTTGGATTGTGTGGTGGTATTACTCGATTGGACAATATGTCACTTATAAAACAATGTAAATCTTCACACTTTCCACTAAACTACCACCATCATTTTTCCATCATTTCAATTATTCCAATTATTTACTTTCAAACTGTCTTTAATTCTAATCGCATTAATTTTATTCTTTACATTTATTATCGGATTTTCTTCAAACATAATGACATTTTAAATTTTGTAAATTTCAAAATGGCAATAAGGGAGTTTATCATACATTTCTGATAGATAGATCAATTTAAATTATTTCTGATCGATAGATCAATTTGAATTATTTCTGATAGATAAATCAATTTAAATTATTTCTGATAGGTAGATCATTTTTAGCCTCTTAACCTCTTAATCAGTTTAAATTATTAACCTCTTAACCTCTTGATCAATTTCCATTATTTATATTTCGAATGCTTTTAAAGAGTTTATAAAACGATATATTGCATACTTTTAACTTAAAAAAAATCCATTACCTGTAGATATTATCATACTTATGCAATATCTTCTACATTCATTTCAAATAATTAATAAAAGTAAAAATGAATTAGAAAAAAAGTATTGTTGAATTTGAGGTGAAAAATTATTTCCAAAAATTTCAACTGATTGTTCCTTTTCTACTTATGCTTTTTTATTCTTAGTCACGTGCCGAAAAAAGGTTTACTAAAGTCAAAGAGTGCCGCAACAGGTTATCAAAGCAATTTCAATTCTCATTCATCTGTAACGAACGCTTCTACAATTCATAATGGGTTTTCCTTTAAATGGATTTAATGAAGAAATAAACAATTCTTCACCAAAAATTACTATTTACAAGAAATTATATGTCTTATAATGCCATATCAATTTGAAGAAAGTTAAATTTAGAAATTCAAAATCAATAATAATTTATGATATGTCCAGTTTGAACAGGTAATTATTGGTAGAATAATTATAAGAGAATAGTATTTCTTTTTTTTTTGTAATTATGATTCATAACAAAATCATAATGAGTAATAATATAAAAAATATAAGTTAAAAAAGAAAACTCTCAAAGTAAGAATTCATCTTATTCTATACTTCAGTGTTTTTTAAAGTAAAAGAGTTTATCATAAGAAAATATCAATTGATGTGAATAAAATAAACTTCCAAGTGGCAATTATTAGAATGGTAATGTCCTCAATAATAAAGACATAATTACAAGCATTCATAATGGAAATATATATGATATCGGTTTTTCAGGCTTTCCGGATCATATTACACAGCAGGTACCGACGATAACTAAATGGCAGCAATTAAAATCTCGGATAAACGATCGATGCTTAATCATTAACAAAATTGTGTTATAGAATGAAATGGATAATTTTCGAAATAGAAAATAAATCAAATATTAGAGACTAGCAACTGAGAAATATTATAATACCTTAGAAAGGTATTTATGCTAGAAGAATAAATACATCGTTTCAGGTGGTATATAATTTTTTTTAGTAGATACAAATGCGCTAATTATTTCTTAAAATTAAAAATGGTTTATTAATTAACCTCTTATCTTTTTGTTCAGTAGTTTGTTAAAATCTATTTGCAGGAAAAAAAATTTAAAATGATAGTATTTTTCTTAAAATTTAAATGTATTCTATTTAATTAAAGAATAGTTTCAAGTGTCAGTAATGTTTTTCTTGCTTCTTATTTCATCGCTTTTATTATAATAAATTTTCCAATATTCTAAGATATGCAAATCAATTAGTCTCTGATGAAAATTAGCTAAGGTTAAAGTTCATTGATGATAATAATCAATCAACAATATATAATCAGCATGGAATGGTTAATGAATGAATGTGTTCCACCTCGTTAACAAGCCATAAATTTTGAGTGAATGAGCGCCAAAATGTTGTCTATTTATTGCAGAAATATAAAACCACATGTCAATTAATGGATAATTGAAATGAGTAATTAAATATGGTGAATTGGTGACAGGCGCAGCAGTCTCTTGAATGAATTACAAAAATAATTTCGATCAAAAATTTACAATTGTCATGCATTTCTTTCGTAAACTTTGACCTTTCTTTGCATAAGTAATATATTATTTAGAAAAAAAAGAGAAAGAAAGAGAGAATAGATTAAATTTCATAATTTCAAGTTGCTTAATGAAAGTTGTAAATATTTAGTAATAAATATCCAATTATGA